GTTAAAGTTTCGTTGGAACGAAGTTACGGAAAAATCAATTAACAAACGGAGACGTAACAATATTATAACTGGCAGGCGTCTTTCAGACACGCAGTGTAGTAGAATCTTAACAGACAAAAATAGGATAAATTAAACTCAATTGCGATTGAATAGTTATGTATATTGCTATATGTTAATTTTTTTGCCTATGCTATTATGCATGGATGATGCAAATACCATCTCTACTATCTTGTTTGCATTGTTTTTGAAAGATTGATGTTAGCCATTCCTACATTTACTTCCTTTTTTGGGAAGTTTTTTTCTTTACTTTTTTTGAAGGCAGTATTTCAATTGATATAGGAAAGTTATATTTATAACTAAGTTATAAATACAATGAAGTTCCAACTGTAAAATTTATTATTTATCTATCATTGTTTCACATTGTATTTAAGCTTTTTAGAAGAACATCAAACTTCTGTAAAAACGCTAACTTAAAAAGGCAATTATAACATCGTTTACATTAGAATTATGTTTTTGTATTACTACTAGTTATTAATGATACTTATAAAAGCAGGTACTCGTTTGAAACTGTCACCTCAGTTAAATTGATTAACACTATTGTTTTGGTTTTTGAGTTATCATGTAATAATAAAGAAGCAGAGAAAGAAGAACGAGATATTCAAACTTTCTGCTATGATATTTACAGACATCCACAGAACTTGTGACTGGATCATTACTTCCCTCTCTTTCTTTCTCTAGGTACCATGCCCATCTATGGCGTTGGTCTTCGACTGTTTCCTGTCCAGAACTTGTGACTCAGTCATCATTTTCCTCTCTCTCTCTCTTTCTCTAGGTACCATGACCATCTAGTGCGTTGGTCTTCGACTATTTCCTGTCTCCCGTTGCTCTTACCATATCTATGTGCATTCTAATACCGTTTGTCTGTCTTCCTTTGCTTTGCTTTTCTGGGATTTTTCCTTTCATAATGATGTTTTTCAACACTTCTTTTCTCGTGATATGTATTATAAAACTCCGTTGTCTCTTTGTTAAATTTTCCCACAACATTCGTTTTGTCTTGGCCTTCTTTAGAACAACTTCATCACTTGTATGTGTGTTCGATGTTATTTTAAACATTCGTCTTAGAAACCATATTTCTACTGCTTAAATGCGTTTCTTTATTGTTAGCGATATTGTCCAACATTCGAAACCATAATGAAGGATTGGATGAACACAGCACTGCAGAACTCTCAATTGTGTTTTAATTGTCAATTTGTTGTTGATGAATAGATATTGTTACAAAAGTAAACACTGTATAATATTGTAAAGTTCTGATGACCTATTGAGAAAATATTTAAGATACTGTTACGACAGCGGAAGTCACGTGACGCTAGTAACACGTCATGAGATTCTAGAAGGATCATGTCTCTTCTTGTCAACTCTAGTCTTTTCTACGCACCCTCTATTTTTGTATATATAAGCCGACACATGAAGTGATGGCATAGATAATTGCAGACAGGCAGAGATATAGACGGACAATTGAGTCATGCGCGGTAGTGACCGTAAGTAAAGTGCGTGAATCGTTGTA